GATTTGATTCTAGGAGAAGGCATAAGATTATTTAATAGATTTGATTCTAGGAGAAGGCATAAGATTATTTAATAGATTTGATTCTAGAAGAAGGCATAAGATTATTTAATAGGTTTGATTCTAGAAGAAGGCATAAAATTATTTAATATACTTGATTCTAGGAGAAGGCATAAGATTATTTAATAGAATTGATTCTAGGAGAAGGCATAAGATTATTTAATAGATTTCCTCCTCCCAGTGGCTCAGTGGTAAGCTTGGAGCTTATAATGTTAAATATCGGAGTTCGATACTCACGGTAAAGCACAGCGCAGATATCCCATTGAGTAGGTTCGTGCTTAAAATTAAACACAAATTCAATAGCTTGCAATATCTGTGTATCTTGATGTTAGCTGATGGCTCGGGTACATTTTATACTGGTAGAAATGGATTACAGGAAGCCAAATCAAAATATTAAACATCTTGGGCTACTATTAGTTCTAGGATGAAACATCAGAAAATATATAACATTTTCCGCTAAATCCAGTCGCTTCTAGGATAATATGTCAGAATATTAGAAATAATACGTTAACTACTATGTGTTCCACAAAAAGTTTACAGAAATCATTAATACAGTTGGCCCGGCATGGCCAAGTGGTTAGGGCGTTCAACTCGCAATTTGCGGGTCGCGGGTTCGAATCCCTGTCCCACCAAACATGTTCACCCTTTCAGCCGTGGGGGCGTTATAATGTGACGGTCATTCCAATCGCTGGTGAAATAGTAGCTCACGGGTTGGCGGTGGGTGGTGATGACTAGCTGCCTTCCTTCTAGTCTTAAACTGCTAAATTCACAGATTGCCCTCGTGTAGCTTTGCGCGAAATTCAAAATAAACAATTAATACATTCAGTAAAAGGATAGCGTTTAATTATTCATTCTTAATTCTAATACAAAACTGTATTTTTAAATGATCAATAGAGTTAGACTAAAGTAGATTTGGAATAGTGTAACACATTTTTATCTACCTTGATTTAAAAACTAACGTATTGTAATATAAACTGAGTAGAATTTTCAACAGATATGTTTAATGTTCACTTTCAAACAAACTTGATAAAATTACACGTCACCAATTTAATCTAATCTACACCTAAACAGTTGTTGGTCATACAACTTGATAGTACAAATAGCTTCTCGACCACTACTGCATCTCTCGTATTCTAGCCGTCATGATGATCCTTGGTATTAGGCGAAAGGTCTTATCGGCACTGAATATACCAGTTATAGTGTGATTGATATATTTTATCTTCACTCACACGTTCTTAAGTTCATAGAATTACTAATGTAGTCTCATCCCCTTGACGCCGTGGTTGTCTGACCTACTCCAGGAACAATAAGACTAGGTTGTTGGTTCGCCATTTATTCTGAATAACGATTAAAGTTAATTCAAGTAAAAATAAATAATAATGATAAATAAATGATGTTAGAATAAATAAATAATATTGTGTTATTACTCTTTATCCTAATACTGATATATATATTACTCATAAAAACTGCAGTTCACCAAATTGCCCCCCAGTGGCACAGCGGCATGTCTGCGGAATTACAACACTAGAATCCGGGTTTCGATACCCGTGGTGGACAGAGTACAGATAACACTTCCCCAAATTCACAACATAGGAACTGTTCATGCAATTTCAAAATATAAATAACATCTCACTCATTAGTGTATTTGTTGTATCTCAGCAGGCCTAATGAGCTGTGCATAGTGTTAGGTGAAAGGCCTCGTCAGCACTGAATATAGAAGATTTGGTGCAGTTGATATATTATTATATATTTGTTTCTACTCTCACTTATAAGTTATTAGAATTGCCACATTAAATTACAGTTTCGTCGCAAGTATTTTACATCGATTCATTCAGTGTACGACAGGAAAACCCAACAACAGGAGATCGTATTAGAAGCTGCTTTCAAATATTGTAAATTTAGGAATATTGTTCTTCGCTCAGTTCCACCATTTTTCTCCTCTCAAGTTGATAATTTTCTTGATATGTAAAACTGTGAATCACAATATCAGTCTGATATGTCATTAGTGATATGTTTGATATGTTTAAGATACAGGTCATATACACAATATGCTATATTTAGAATATACATAGCACATCAGCAGCACTAATAAAGTTATGCTATTGGACGAAATATATCGATAAATAGAAAGAGGAATTAAGACGATTTTTGCACAATGAAACAAAAACTTAAAGTTGACTACTTTCGGTAACATTTGCCGTCGTTAAGTAATTAATAAAGCTCTATATTTTTGATGTGCCAAAAATCGTTGTTTTCCTCATTTTATTTTTGTACTATCTGTAACACAATATGCATAAAAAGAGATTTAAGTGAACTATCTGTAGACTGATCTCATGAGACGTATAAAAAGGCATTTTGTGATGATGTAGTTAAAATATTTTTCAGTAAGCAAAGGAAAAGACTTGCAGGCTAAAGGGTAGATAGTCCAATAAGAAGAAAGATATTTGCAGAATGACTAATAAACATTTTAAAGCCCAGGGAAAGTCAATATGTCAACAAAGAGTCTGAGAGAATAAATATCATTTAATCAGATAAAGTGAGGATAATAGAATAATGAAACTAAATTCAAATACATAAATAGCTAGACAACCACAGTAACTGACAGATATTTAAACAAACAGTGTTTAAATAGGTGGCCATAGATTATAACGGATTAACTAATACATATATTTAAATAAATAGTGTTTAAATAAGTGACCATAGATTATAATGGATTAACTAATATATATTTAAATAAATAGTGTTTAAATAAGTGACCATAGATTACAATGGATTAACTAATATATATTTAAAAAAATAGTGTTTAAATAACTGGTCATAGATTATAATGGATTAACTAATATATATTTAAATAAATAGTGTTTAAATAAGTGGCCATAGATTACAATGGATTAATTAATATATATTTAAATAAATAGTGTTTAAATAAGTGGCCATAGATTATAATGGATTAACTAATATATATTTAAATAAATAGTGTTTAAATAAGTAACCATAGATTACAATGGATTGACTAATATATATATTTAAATAAATAGTGTTTAAATAAGTGGCCATAGATTATAACGGATTAGCTAATATATATA